TCTTAATAAAATATTATCGAAATATTAATGAAATTATAATGAAATTTTAATGAAATTGGGTCAAAATTGTGAATGCTTTTCAAACATATTTCAGCAAAAGTTCATTATATTTTCAATGAATTATTTCCATCAGATACAAATATCTCAATTGAGATCTTACATGCGAAATTTTGCGGAAACCTCAACTGAGAATTCAATTGAGAATTTAATTGAGAATTCAATTGGGAATTCAATTGTGATCTCAATAGAAATTTTTCAGTAGGGTAGAACGTTGCCTTTTCTTCCTGTCAGCTATTGTTGTTCAGTTCTCATTCCCATTAACTTCGAAATTTTTAGAAAAAGAATTTTCAGCAGCACTCAAGGAGTCAGATTGGGCATCTATTGGAGATACGTTTTGTACTTCGCTTGTATAAAACTGTCTGAGAATAGCCTTTGGTGTTTTTTCCGTCTTTTTATAAGAGGTAGATTTACTTATTGCCGAACACGACAACAGGATCTGTCAGGACGTCAGAAGTTTTGTGTTACTGAAGATAGATTACATTTTGAATATTTTGTGTTACTGAAGATAGATTACATTTTGAATATTTTTCTCCACACGCAGACCCACCATATAGCGAAAGAACACTTGTATGCAGATCGACCTAGTCCAAGTCTCGTTTCATACATAAACTGGTACTATTGTCGGGAGCACGAAACAAAAAATGATTTTTGTGAAGTATCTGACGACAGAACGTATAATATAATTGAGTAAATTAGTAAATATTAGTAAAACTTGTTAATAACTGATCTTTTAATTAATTCCTTTTTTTACTGACGCTGTATAATTCATTGTTCGAAAAGGTTCTTCACACCTAAAAAGCCAGATGATGGTGACAGAAACAGAACGAAGTTGACAATTAAGACAATTGAGACAAAGTCAATTGAGTCAATTGAGATCGTTTCTCGGCCTAAAAACGAAGCTATTTTTGCGAATTTTTTTCTTGGAAACTACGCAACCGATTATTTTGAAATTTGGTACGCTAAATACTACATATTTTATTTATATGTCAAAATTTTTATCAGTATGCGAAATATAAAAGTTATTGAAAAACACGTGAAACTGAAACGAACGGTTTTTGCTCCATAGCGCGCATGATATCTCATGACTCGTTAATCTGAAATATGAAAGCCAAAAAGATTATTAAACTAGGGGCATTTAGTTATCGCTGGAAATAGGGATATTGGAAACGGATCGTTTTTCAGCAAGTTGTAGGTATTTGAAAAAAATGCCCGAAAAATCGCCTTAAAAATCGACAGTTTTTCACTGGAAATAAATAGGAAAAGTTAATATATTTTAATTTCGCTGATTCGGACGAAAATAGCACATGGTTTGAATATGTAGCTATAGGCAGAAGTCGATCGGTTCAGCAGTTTGTCGCAAATCGTGCGCGCCAGTTGGAGAAAAATCGTTTTGAGAAAAACACATTTAAAGTTTCGGGTACTATTTAAGTTTATATTTCTAATATTTACGTAAGTTTCAACCTAATCAGCGATTCCAGGCAAACACACCCGAGTCGTTCTTTTGTTACCTAGGGTTCATAGGAGCTTCGTGGACCGCATATATCTGACGAAATCTTAAACGGCTCGGTGGGCGCCGGATTTAACCTGCGCGCCGCTTCGAATAATAGGCTGTAACTTACGTAATTTTTCGAATTTATTGATGCGATAAGTAGGAATAGATTCTTAAAAATACATAGTTTAATAAAATGTAAAAAAAGAAAAATTGATTTTTTGACCAGAGAAACGGTATTGCCCCCTTAATATAATTTTGTTGACTCTACAGAAAAGTTAGTCATCTTTTGAATGCTAATATTAATCAGCATTTAATATATTCGATTCCCTATATTTCAGCCATTAGAAATTATAAATTTTTTCCATCAGATCTTAATAAGCTTAATGATACAGTTGAGTCGATCGTTGCAAGTTAGTTTTCGGTTGCCACATTCAATAATGCAACCTCTGCTTCGACTAAACGGGGCGCAGATCAGTATCTTAAATAATAAAAATTTAGAATTATTTTAAAATGGGAAGTAAACCATTTCCTTGTGTGAACTGTTGAATATAAATGTGGTTATTGCACTAACGTGTAATAACTCTGATAGAAATATATGCATTTTGTACAAACATCCGCCCATTTATTGTCTTATTAGTTGATAGATGAGACTATTTGCCATAAGTTATACAATACCAAATATTTTCTGCATTGTCGCATAATATTTAAAGCACCTAAACGCGACATTCCCCAATGCACTAATTGTCAAAGATATACATGCGAAGCTTTTGTTATCGTAATCCCAGGTATGTGAAATGTGCCTTGAATCATTCTACAGCCAACTGTCCAAAAAAGGGGCGTTCCGACAATGTGAAGTGTGTTTTTTGCAATGGGAACCACCCTGCCAATTATAAAGGATGTGAAGTCTTCAAAGAAATACAAAACACCAAGTTCCCAGCTCTAAGACAAAAGACGAGAACAAATAATCAGATCATAGCCCAACAGGTTGCACCTAAGTCGAGTGAACAAACTCCTTCAAAATCCCATGCAATAAAATAGAAACTTTTACATCGCGTCTACATCGTGGACATTGATGAATATAACAAGAATAAATCGACATTATCGTATCGTCGATGTAATTTGCGAGAAATTAAAATGAATAAGACAGTCGCGCTTTGTACGTAAATGCTATATGTAAAAAAATATGTAGGGTAATATGTTATTGAAGGTAAATATGTTATTAACACTCACCGAATAAATGTTCTTTGTTTCACTTTTAAATGTCTTTTTTCAGTGTATAATATCTATGTGGGTAGATTTGTGAAGAAGTAAACCCCTAATATATAAACATTTGTTAATAAGTCAGCGTACGTTTTGACTCTCTGCTTACCAATTCAGTGTTACACAACTTGACTATCAGTTTCACAATGGTCACGCATAGATTGAACATTTTTATAGAAAAATTACGCATCCGCAAAACTACTTGGGAATGTAAACATGGCATGAGTAATGCTGAAGGAATTGAAATTTTAATGAAAGCTTTTTGTGAGTAATGTGAATATTTGCAATCTCATCATAGACCACGTATTGTCACTATTACGTAACGACAACGATAGTTGCCGCTCGAACTTTGACTCGGTAATGTCTGTACTTTGAATAGATCATATTTTATATATTCTGATTATGTATTCTGATCTATTAATAGCGTTTAATCGAATTTAACGTGATTATTATAACCTATTGAATTTCCAAACCAACTGATAGCATTCCTCACGAAGACAGATACAAAGTCGCTTATTCGTCATATCCTTGTATCATCTGAGTATTCCACCTCCTGAGATAAGTGTTTCAGATTAAACTACACATTAAATCATTTTCACAACACGTCGGAACAAGTATAAGCGGAAAATACTAGATGTTTGCTAGATGTAGCTTCCAAAATCCTATGCAATAAAATAGAAACTTTTACATCGCGTCCACATCGTGGACATTTGACAAATATAACGAGAATAAATCGACATTATCGTATCGTTAGGATATAATTTGCGAGAAGTCAAAATGATTAAGACAGTTTTTGTATGTAAATGCTATATAAGCAAACGCGTAACGAATTGATTGAATTTGTGATTCACGTCTCAGACTAGTTGCGCAATTATTTAAAACTGGTTCCATATAATATGGCAGATATAGGTGAATGTTGTCGCTTATATTGATCATGTATATTAAACGAATATTTAATCCATCTTAATGTTAAATCTATACATGTAAGATAGCTAATATATACCAACATTAACAGATGAACGTCAACATCAATCATTACACATTTTACATCATACATATTTTACATCACGTATAAAAAAGGTCAATTTTAAACCCAAGATGTAAATAAAAAAAATAATGTATTTTTGCAGATCTTAACTTTTTGAATACAATGAAGTTATAAAAAAGTTAATAGTAAACAATATCCAGTTTAAATAAAAAAATTTTTGATTTAAACGAATATATTAATTGTACCCTTCTAATAAATATCTGTTAATTTTTAGATATTTATTTTCAGTGTAGATGAATCGTGTTTTTGGTAAGAAATAGTAAAATTATATAAAAAAGTGTATGTATTCAAATAAATATTTAATCGTTAAAAGTAAGTTACGCACGCGCGCGATATAAAATAAAAGAAATTGATAATTTTATATGCGCTGAAATATAAGAAATTGAAATTTTTGATAGAAATAAAGGACAAGTTCAGGTAGAATTATATAATTTCAAATAAAATTATGGTATTTCTCTCAATAGGGAATTTGTATATATTTTTATACAGTATATAACAAATTTTATTGAAACAACAAGGATCTATCAATCCTTATTTTTTATGCAGGAAATTTTATAATTATGTCCACATTTGTCAAACATTGTCGTACTAGTGATGCAATATTTGCTATCCGTGCCAGCGTATAATTGGTCATATGAAATCTCTACATACACGATACGGCCAAAATATTAGTCCTATTGGCTAACATTCGCCTACTCACCGCGCGTGACTACTCATCGTGTAGAATCGATTTACCGTGAATGTAAATAAACACCGAATGGACACCCGACGATGTCGCGCGAAAACGGCGGTCGCGTGCCAGCGCGCCGGTTGATTCACCGCGCGGCCGCACGCTGGCGCCACCGGTCGCGTCGCCGGCACATCACGCCATAATCCGCGCTAGACCAATAATATTTAACTCGCGCCGCGTGATGCCGGTTACTCAGTTCGTCGTAGTCAGGTCGTCCTACGTCCTCGATATATCCGCAAATCGTCGCTGAGGTAAACCACCAACGACGGAATTAACGGAGAGAAACTGCGCACACGTACTCTCTCGGCGTTCAGTTCGTTGCCGTCGTCTCGCCAGGAGAAACGATCAGTCACCGTTCACCCTCGACATCGCCAGCAAAACCTGTTGAAGAGCGCGGTGGAGACAAAGGTGAGTCTACATGATCTTCCTGAACCATCGGCGACGATCACCGCTAGTGGTCATCGCTAGTTCCGCAACCCTTAGTCGCGCGATATGTATAGAGGTTAAGAACCAAAGAAAAATTTAAATGACAATTGATTTCGCGAGCCATCTAAAGTATCGATCGGCTCCGAGTGGAGTACGAGTTCGGGGAGTACGTCGCGATCCGTGGGAGTTTCAGCACTCAAGCTCTTCGTTCTGATGGAATGCACTCGTACCCTAGAAAGATATGTTGTTTTCGCGGCCGACAGCGCGTGATTTTCACGAACTTCCTTCTTTTTTCTATGTCGTGCGCATGTATGTGTAAATATAGTATTGTGATATGTGTACGTACAGTATGTATACACGCAAAAAGAATTTCAGTTGGTGCAACTAAATAGGAATCAACTGAAAATTAGGCTCAGAAAATTAGGATCAGGGCCCTTATTCTTGAAATAGTTGCGTATACGTAAGTTTTACTGTGCAGCTATTTTATGGTATGACTTAACATGTGCAGTAAAACTTACGCAACTATTTCAAGAATAAGGGCCCAGAAGCGATATCTCTGTTACGAAAACTAATATTTTTGTTGTCGCAAACGAAAATATTCGTCCGAACATTCAACGATATTAGAACTCGGTTGAGTTCAACTGATTATACAGAAGCCTCATAAAGAAATTTTTTTGTTCCTACAGCCGAGTTTTCGTCTGATCCCAGAGCAACCGAAAATTCGGTTGCACCAACAGAACTGTTTTTTCCGTATAGTACCTACAAAGCTCACAGTTGGATGCGAGAAAGTTTAGCTCTGCGGATTGCAATTTGACCGTAACGGACTATTCGCGTAATCGAGAGGGGATAAGACTTGTCGTCGAAAATTTTGTCTAGACTCTTTTTCTTTTTTTATTTATTTCTTATCGTACTCTTTTTCACATTTTCTCGCTTGTATCAGTTTTGTAATATTCTTATAAAGAGAATAGGTTTTTGGGTGTAGATTTATGTTGTTAATACCCGAGTTAATTGTATCAAGATCTCGTAATCGAAGTTGCCCGCACGATATTCGAGAAGCACGCCTCCGCCTTTACGCGGTGGTTAATCGTACGATTCGCGATTGCCGCACGTTCGCGGAAGATACAAATGAATAGGCAAGTCGTATGGTATGATCTACTTCCACAATGGCGCAAATGCAACTTTTTCCTAAACCAATTGCAGCAATCCGCCGACCGACACGAATCGGCACGAACGCCGAAAAGACACACAATGCTTCGAAGCAGAAAATACATGATAAAAAATAAATTTTTGCTGTTAAACTATTAATATTTTATCACTTAATGTGTAAATAAGTATTTTGAGATAGTAAAGATGATTTATTTAATCGTAATCATAGATGATGTGTAATTACTCTGTAATTACTCTGTAATTACTCGGAAATTACTCTGTATAAATTTATTTAGGAACGATTTGATGTTATAACGTCCACTGCCTATGCCATCTAACAGTTACTAGTTGAAACATTAATATTATTATAAATTCTTGCATTTCTATTGCATTCAGAATCTTGAGCCAACAATAAATTAGAAGAGTAAACAATGCGAAAAATTGTTATAACATGAAAAGTTGCACGTTAGTGTATCAATCAAATTTTGGCTAATTATTTTTCTCGTATTTTGTTTAATACGTGCGTTATAATTATATTCACATTCGCAAGAATTTATTTCGTAGGAAAAATTTAAAAAGTTTCTGAACTTTTAAACTGAATATTCAATATTTGATAACAATTTTACTTTCTAGGTAAAGGCATATAATTCAATTGATAGCTTATTAGTAGAAAAGATTATAAGATAAATATTTCAAAGATTTATAACAAAGTTAGAGATCTCTCACTCTTTTCGTTTTTCGAACCATTGTGTGGCGTGTCTAGTCGAGTATCGATGGTGGAATGCCAAACGTCTAACGGTATCAGGGGAAAAAAATTCGATCGTAAAACTCGAGCGTAAGACAAAGGCTCGTCGTGTGTATAAGTAAGGGATACCGGATAATATTTGCGAATAGCTCCGCGGTGGAAATGAAGCTACTTGCCGCCGAGATGCACTGTTATTATGCGCGCGTCTGTTTTGACAGAATATACCTGGCATGCGCTGCGCGGCGTTCGCAATTCGCGCAAGTCGAGGAGCGCGGACGAATGCGTGTCGTAAGTAAATCAAATCGAATTAATGGCAACGATATGGCGAAATAATGAACTTTATTATCAAATTGCGATTTACAAATGATCGCTTTCGATCGTTTTCTCGATGCACCTGAAGTTTCTACGGTAAATTTAAAAAAGAAAGAACTTTTGTTGCACGATTCTATTTCTTGTAATTTCATATTCTAAGCAAAAAATTTTATCGAAAGGTTTTATTGCTTTTCTAATGAAGTGCACTATCGATTGGAAATCTGCTAAATATTATTCTAAATTTTTCTTTTGAGTTAAGAGGAATATGTTTATTTCAAATAAACTACCTTCTTCCTAGAAGAAATTTTTCTGAGTGTCTAATTTTTTCTAATTTTCTATTTTTAAAAATAATTTAGTTTCTAATTTTAAATGCAAGACTTGCACTGTAGATGAAAGACGAATCCCTTGAAGAACATTGAATTTAGAACAATATTAACTTTAAGAATATCGACTTAATAATATTAATTTTAAAAATATTGTATACTGTTTAAAATATTTTTCTAGCTTCAGGAGAACTCTTGAGGCCACATATAAGAATAAAATTTCTGCGTGATTAAGAGTGAGATAATGCTTTCTTTGAGTGTAAAGTCCACATCAGATCAAATATTGGAGATCGAGGATTACAGATGAAAAAATGGAATTTAACGAATTAATTAGTTTCGATCTTAGTATCTTTGGTCAAATTCCAGTCTTTAATCTGTAATGTTCAATTTCCTAGTCTGACACGGACTTCACGGAGACACTTATAATAGTATTCGCGACTATTATACTACAAATGCTCGAAACGCTCGAAAATTTCAAATTCAAAATTATACCAATTCGAACTTATTATACGAATTATACTAAATACGAAATTATACTATTTAAGAGTCCTCGAAAAAAATACGAGTAGCGAGAGAAGTTTAAAAAATAGGCTTTCGAGGTGTGACAAATCGAGTGGACTTTGCATTGTATAGAATGACACACCAAAAAATTGCTGGTTTCCAGTTAATGATGACAAGACTCGTTGAGAAGGCGATTTTTCAACAAGATTTGATAAACGAGAAAAAAATAGCTAATGCGACATTGAAGATCGGTAAAAAATTGCTCTATTTCTTTCTATGTATGAAAGAACGTTATTTATCGTATTGAAGGCTTAACTAAGAGTAATCCTCGTTAGTAGATAATACAACCGTTCTTTCGTGCGCTACTCAATGCTGCACAACAATCGGTCTTATCTGAAGCGCGTCTCATCTACGTTATGTTACCTCATATTCGTTAAAGTTAAGGCTTGAGCCATAATCTCAAATTATACTTACAAAACCAAATTCCAATTTGCAACGTGCTTTTATTACGTTACAGGATTATTGTATTTTTTTATTGTATTTATTGTATATTCGGGAATAATTCGTTAAAATCAAAGAACGAGACATTTCAATGAAATTTTCCCGACACGTCGTGTCGGGAACTTTGACGGCACATATCGTTTTGTTATTATTAATAAGAGAAATGTGAATGAAAATCAGACGAATTTTTGCATCTAATATTTAATCATGAAATGTAGCCGTTAAAAGTAGATATCAATGTATTGCTTGACACGTTCGCTACTATTTCTGGCACATTTGAAAGATCTTCTCCAAAGCTCATCTTGTATTTTTTTATGTAATCGTGTAAAACAAATTTAATTAATTTATATAGATATAAAAAAAATTCTTAACGCCGATATTTCGTGAGAAATCGGTGCGTCGCAGATATATGTGTATCTTAGCAAATATATTAACACATTTGATATTTCAGGCTTTCGTGGTGTCCATGAATATTAGATTTGGTTCCGGGTTTTGAGCCGCGTGAATCTTCTTGGTACTGATTCCGACGTTTCGCGAATATTTCAGTTCGCTTCATCAGGAAGGAACTACGGGCATCGGGTGCAAAATTAATTTAGTTAATTTCAGCAATTTTGTATAAACGCGATAATGCAATGCGCGTTGAACAGTCATATCATATCGATTTAATAAATAATAGTAATAAAGATAATTTAATATAAAATTGTTAGATAGTTGATTGTTAGAAGATAATTTAATATAAAATTGCTAGACACGCGTTTTAAACGATTGTTGTAAACAAGGTCGCAAATTCGCAAGAGTAAGATTAGTCCTGAATATATTACTCGAGAACTCGGATAGAAAAGAACTTCAAGGTTGCTTATTTTTTACAATATATCGGTTACGAGTGGTCCGATCGTTGCGTGTTGCGTATGTTGTACGATAACGACTCATATCTCGTTACGAAATCCCGCAAAAAAATAATATCCTGTCGCATCGTTTCTCCTCACTACAAATAAGCGTTTCCTGTTGTATAGTCTCTATAGAAAGAGAGAGAGGAAGAGGGGCGGTAGGGTGAGAGAAAGAGAGATGGGGGAAGGAAAAAGAGAGAGACGGAGAGAAAGAGAGGGAGCGATTATTAAGTTGGAAAGCTAATTGTCCGGATAATCTCTAGACATGTTCAATCACCCCGACGTAACCTCGATATTTATTTATTGAACGTTTAAAGGAAAAATCCAATTTGCTGAATGTGTATAACAAGCGGTATTTCAATACGTGGAGTATCAGCAGCAGGACAATTAGGTTAGGCAATATGAGATAATAAAGTTTCTAGCGTTGAATAAAAATTACTACTCATGTGACCGACTGAAAGTGATTACGCGCGAACATAACAGACACATATAAGTTATATGCGTGGCGTAAATTTGTTAATATATATGTAGTCCGCCGTTAATGATAAGTTATTACGTAATGTGACA